TTTTTTTTTTTTTTTTTTGTACTGGGGATTGAACTCGGGTCCTTGTGCTTGCAAGGCAGGCGGCTGAACCACTGAGCTAAATCCCCAGCCCATGCTTGAACTGCAAGATACATGGAGAATGAAAACCAGGTGCTAGAATGGGGGACAGGCATGTAATAGCTTGAAGCTCTTATACAAACAGAGCCCTGCCAAGCCAACCCAGGAAAGCCTACTGGAAGAACCACTGTTGTTTTAAGCTATTTGGTTAAATGCTGCCAAACTAATCCTAAGCAGTACATTTCAAATGGATGATCTCAAACTATAGCAATAAGGGCATTTATCCAATCTCTGATTCTTGCAAAACAATCTTTAATAAATTTTTAGTGGGAGAAATATGAGAGTTCAGAGATAAAACCAACAAGAATAAAGAAACTTCTTATAGCAACTAAGAGTTTTTTTCCCATAACCTGCACTAGATGGACCAGATGACAGCTAGACACAATTTAGCAGGAAAGTTGTAGAGTAAGATTTTGAATACCAGTTTCTAGAAAATGTAAGGGTATTTGGTAGGGTAGTTAGAGAAGGCCATTAACCCTGCAGGACTCTGAAGAGCACGGAGACACATGTCTGGTCCATCTATTATGAGAGAGGAGCTCACAGACAAGAGTCCACCAAAAAACATATACACACTTCAGGAAAAGAAAAACAGTATAATTGTTTTCAGCAGGTGGTGTTACCCTCATATTAGCTTACCCTAGAGGATGTCGGATATTGCAGAAAACCCATTGCACCTCCAGCCCTTAGAGCAGAAATTGAAAATGTATGTGCAGCAATCTCTATGACCGAGGCTATCTAAGCAACACTTTGCCGTTCTTGTAAATGTCTGGAAGCTCATGGCTGCCACTTTGAGCACCTCTTACAATTGCAGAGGCCAAAGGCAACTTGATTTTATCTCCTGATGACTCAGTGAATTTAGTATTAAAATATTTGTACAAATTTTTCTTTTCTTGAACGGTGCATACATTTTCTTGGTGCACCCTGTATATTGAATAACTACAATGGATTAACTTTCCCACATAGGGGAATGTATTTCAGCATCACTCCTGGAAAAGCGAGTCTTCTTTTTGACATTTCATACATGAAAAATCCAAGGCCACGCAAGTTGGGTTGCCTCGCCCTCTGTCATAATGTTAGTGGAGACAGGACTCGAACCTCTGTCTGTTTGGCTCTGGAGCCCTTGTCCTATCTCAGAACTCCTCCAACCACAAGACTACAGAAAGCATTTTTCAAAGGCTTCAGAGCCGCGCTCCTCATCGCAGAACCAGCCACGGCCAGTGTGATTATTTCCTTTGGTGTACTGTCCCCTTGCTTTGCATTTCCTGACATTCAGGAAACGAAAGTCCGTTGCTTTAAATCCACTTCTTCCACCGCAGACCTTGACTTCAAACCACAGACTCCTATTCACGAGACGACTGACTCCTTGATGCTTCCCTGAACCGCTCTGGCCGGCTCGAGCCTGTTCTTCCAGTGCCAGTAAAATTCAGGTGACTCAAACTCAGGTTAGGAGCATCTCATCAGACAAGCTGGAGAGAGTAGGTAGCCTGCCTTGACTACATCCAGTTTTTCCTCTTCCCAGATATTTTCTCCTTTGCTAAATATGACTTCAAGCTTGCTGTGCTTCCTGGGCTCCCTATTTCAGTGAATACCCTGCCGCCGATCCTATTGCCTAAACTAGAGTCTTTTTTTTTTTGTACTGGGGATCGAACTCGGGTTCCTGTGCTTATGAGGCAAGCGGCAGAACCACTGAGCTAAACCCCCAGCCCCAGAACCTTCTGAATCACTCTTAATACCTCCACCCCCATCCACAACATATAGGCAATATCAGGTCCCTATTTTCTTACCTTTTCTCTAGTGGTCCTGTTTCAAGCCACTGCCGTCTCTTACTGACTTACCTGCTAATTTTTCTCCTTGCTTCCTTGTCTTCTTAACATTCTACAACAGGAGTGTTACTCAAAAATGCAAATCTGTCACTCCCTTTTTTATTTTAATAGAGGAATAACTTATGTATAGGAAAATGCCTGAGTCTTAAGCTTATGGCTTGATATGCTTTTAACTATGTAAAACCAGGGCAAATAGAACATTTTCAGCACTCCATTATGCCCCGTTTGAGTTATACTCCACCATAAGATAACTAATTTTCTGACTTCTGCTATCATAGATTATTTTTTCCTACTTTAAAAATTCATATACAGCTAGGCATGATGGTACATTCCTGTAATCTCAGCACTTGGGAAACTGAGGCAGGAGGATCATTGTGAGTTTGAGGCTGGCCTGGGCTACGTAGTGAGTTTAAGGCTAGACTGAGCTACAAAATGAGACCCCTTCTAAAAAAAATTAAAAATTCATATATAGCAGGTTCTCTTTTGCAGTGGGTAGCATGTATAAGAACCTCATTATTTATTATTGCCATATAATATTTCATTCTATAAATATCCCTTTGTCCTTTTTTACTGTTGGTGGATATTTGAATCATTTCTAGGTTTTTAAGTATTGCATAAAAGTGTTATGAGTGAGCTGGGGATTTAGCTCAGTGGTTCTGGCACCTGCCTCTCAAGCTCAAGGACCCGAGTTTGATCCCCAGTACAAAAAACAATGTTATGAGTATATTTTGTATGGTTATTTTCATCAACATCAGCACTTACTTCAGTAGGGTATATAATTTAGAAGGGAATTAGGTCATAGAGTATTAAACAGGTATAGTATTGTACTAATCACAATACCTCCACATTACCATGTATTATCAGTCATCATGGTTTGAACCATTTTGGTGGCTTTTAAAGTCTTTATATGACATCCCATTTGGATAAAGTCCAATCTCCATAACATGATACAAGAGGCTCTTGACAGCCTGGTTTTTTGCCTGTGTTTGGACTCATCTTTAATCACCCCCCATCTGCAATATTAGGCTATAACCATACTAAACTAGTAGTGATTCTTGAGTGTTCTTTGCTTGTTTTTGTTCTTTTTTTTTTTTTCCCTCTCCTGGCTTTTGCAGTTTCAATTCTTTTATGTCTTTTCCTCATTTGGTCTAAGTCTTTCTCATCCACTGAACTTTGGATTAGACAATACTTTTTTTCATACTTTCTCAACTTCCAAGATTCAGTATGCATCCAGAATTCTCTGCGCTCACTCTTTTATCAACACACATCGCATAATATTATCTTTGCTTAAGGCTTTGTCAGTTTTTCCTAATGGCTGTGTCTGGTTCATTTTTGCACCTCCCTAGAAATATAGGCTCATAAAAAATGTTTAGTAGCATACTGAGTGATATAAATGAGTGAAATTACTGATTGGTAATGGAGTAATTCCAATTATCACTGTTATTTTAGGAACTGAATTACCAGAACATTTCAAGAGCTATGTGTTAATTTCTCAATTTTCATTCCCTTAGTTTGGGCTTTTGATGAGTGATGCAGAGAGGATAAAACGGTGTCACCTAATAAATTATTCACTGCCTAAGAGTAGACAATCTTTAAAGTCCTATTTCAGTAAATAAATAGCTGATAGGAAGAGACAGGATTTTTAAAAAAATACACATGCATCAAACAACTCAGTTCCTGCAATTCTCAACTGAGATAGAACATTAGAATAGTTTAGGAGCTTAAAAGAAATACCTATGCCCAGAGACACACTTTTGGAGTTTTGGATTTGGGCTGGAGTGAGTCTTTTTGAGAATACAAAGTAAAGCAATATAGGGTACAGTCAGAAAGTTCTGGGAATAAAAATGATTTATTGATCATAAACAAGGATAAACCACCCAAGAAACAGTTACTTGGCATTCTGTAAAGAATGTCCTAGTTCATGTAAAGGATCATTCTTAGCCAGGTGTGGTGGCTAACGCCTATAATCCCAGCACTCCGGAGGCTGAGGCAGAAGGATCACTGTGAGTTTGAGACCAGCCTGGGCTACATAGTGAGTTCCAGGTCAGTCTCAAAACTACATATTGAGACCCTGTCTCAAAAGAACTAAAAGAAGATCATTCTCATGAGGAACTTCCTCTAGCGTGAAGTTTGATGGAAGGAAGAGAATTGCTTATGTAAGGCGGCATTGCATTATGTGCTCTTAAACCGGAACATCTGTTAGAAAAATATTATTTTGGCTATCTAGTTGAGATCTTGAAGTTGATATGGATTCTAATTTTTGAGTGTGACACATTAATAATAACCAGTTAGGGAGCCCAGAGAATTAGACCTCCAAGTATTTAGGTGGAATCTGTTGAAATAACAGTTAGCACCGTCCAGTCTATTCTTTCTCTCCCAACTGCTCTTTTAAATACAAACAGTATATACTGGCAGGAGGATTTTCTCTCACTTTTCTCTCTGGGGAGCTCACCAGGACCTTCAAAACAGGATTTATAGCTCATTTTAACCTGGGTCTCAGACGTGACCTCCCTGGTGTTCGAACGCTAGATAAAACTGACTCAGCTCTCCTCAGTGCGGGGGACCAGCAAGAGTCCAGAGGCTTTTCCGGTTTCTGTGCAGTGAAGGTGGGGCTCACTTCTCATAGCCTCTTCTGCAGGGTCTGTTCCGTTTTCCATTCTGAGCAGGGTGATCTATAGCCAGGTTCTGTCCCTCCATTGGTTTCCACACCAACCTCCATGTAGACTTTACTTAGAGGTAGGGGCTTATGGGAGGGAGATCACGTCACCCACAACACATTAAACAACATTTAAGGCCCAACTTTAAATATGGATCTTCCTGTTTTAAGTGCCACCCCCACTCTTTGGCTGTTCTATCCATGCAGAACCCAGTCTCATATTTTTCCCTAGGCCCCTGTTTTTTCCTTTCCCATCACAGTGGTTTTCTCCTGTTTTACTATCTTCTCCAAATGAAACGATTTGTTCTCTTATGTTTTTAAATATAAGATTGAAATATTGGTCCTCAAATCCTGGCCCTCCGCTGATATATATGTGTATACAGTCTCAGGTACTGTCTTCTACCTCAAAAAGTTGGGAACTATTTTCCTTCCTTAAGTGTCCTCCTTTAGGAATTTAGGTGGCAGATGTTCCTTTAATCTTCTCTTCACCTTATTACAAATGTTTGCTGGGTGACCGGTAGACCTGAAGCAAACAAGGTGGTCTTGTTTTGTTTTGTTTTTTCACCCTGATGAAGCTTAGCTACCAACCCGCTTCTCTCTCCCCTCGCTCATTCTCCACTGTGAACTGGAAAAGGAAAGGAAGAGACCAGAGACGATGTTAAAAGAGGCACTCAGGGGAAATTGGTGTTTGTGGCTTGGGAAAGAAAGAGGAAAGCTGCAGAAAGGACACAGGAGATAGGCTGCTCCTCCTTGTGTCTGTTCTTCCCTCTCACCCTTCCCTTAAGCAGCGTGTGTGGTCCTGAGACCTGAAGTCCGCTGTCTTCTTTAGGTATGAATAGGTTCTGACCAGCTCCTTACTTTCATAAAATGTTTGATATTTTGTTGATCATCCTTTTTTGTATTTATGGGGTTATAATTTGTGTACCACAAACTCCTCCTTTTAAAGCATACAATCAAGTGGCTCTTAGCTTATTCATAGAGTTGTGCCACGCTTGCCACAAATTTTAGAGCATGTTCACGCACCACAGCATTAGTCTTCATTTAAAAAGACAACAGTAAATATTATATGCCTCGCTTACTAAATTTTTGGATACTTCCTTAAATTTCATGCCTAAGGAAAGTGTGCCCCAATGTTGGCCTTCACTGCCTCTCCTAGAAGATGAAATCTGGGTTTTTCCTCCTGCCTTTAGTGATTCTACTAGACAAATGGTACTTAGCCTAGCAGGTAAAGGTAACAAAACAAAACAAAATCAGTTTGACAAGGAAATGGCAACCCTATTACTTATTGCCGACCCTGGACCATGTATTTAGTATATGGATGTTACTTAATTTTTATGACTTACACAGTAGTCAGTCTTGAACTGTTCGGCAGACTGAGAAGCTGCAAATTAGAAGTTAAGCCATTCTCCTGAGGTCACACAATAAGTAATGGGACCAACCATTATACAGAGATCTATTGGGTTCTAAGTTATGTGTTCATTTCCACTGTTTTATTTTTGAACTGTAAGAAAAATAAACTTGGGATCAAAGAAATCAGAAAGGAAATGACACATAAATTTAAAAGGTTCAGAAAATTCTTATCTCTGAGTCTTCCAGCTAGATCTAAAGGCCAATGTAAGGAAGAAAAGAGAATTGGAGTGACAAAAAGGGGGAGGCTGCAGGCGGCCCTCTTTCTGGTCCCCTCTGTCTCTCTTGGACAGAGGTTGTGTTTCTCTCGGTGAATTTTCCCTATTCCTAAAAAAAAGGGTGAGAGAAATTCTGTTTACTTGTTAATTTTATTGCCTGATTTCTATCTGTATTTTAAATTTTATTTATTTTTATTGGTACTTTTTTGTAGTACGTAATGTTTACTTCATTCTGTGATTTTAGTACATGTATGTAATGCATCTTAATTTCTCTTTTCATCTACTTTCCTTCCCCTTCCTCGATCTCTGATCCCGTTCACATT